CCCCGAAGTCGTTAATCTCTCTTTGGGATGCTCAAGCGAGAGCCATCCCTTCCTTGGGAAAATAACTCCAAATTGGTGTTCTCTTCCTGCATTTATTTTCCAGACCAGGAAGTTATAGGAAGAGACATAGGTGGGGGTATAGCTTAACAGTATAGGCTGGTAACTTTCAGTGAAACAAGCCAGATGACATTCCAGTAGACAATTAAGTGGTCCTATCAACAACAGTTTGATCTTAGCAAACATTCCTTCCTATAACAATTTCTCAGTATCTTACATAACAGTCAGTAACTAGTCTGTCTTTTGAGCCAGCAACCTGCTGTGCCACAATTCTTATCTTGCAAGAAAGATTCGCTAGCCTGGGGAAAATTTCCTGTTCTTGCAAGGTCAATATTTGAAACTGCAAGGCTTTGGAAAACCAGGCCCTGTGAAGTACATTTGCTTTTTAGTATATTCCACAAAACATGATACTAAGAATTGTTCTCTATCACTGGGAAGGAGTCCACAGGAACCCAGCTGATTTCCAGGAGCCATGATGATTGAGCACCAACACTTTAAGTAATTACGGAACTGCCAGCCGAGTATGATTCTCTGGCAACACTGTTAAGTATCTGTATTAACACTCCATGCTCGGGGGAACTCAGACAAAATAATTTTACCAGCTAATCTGCCATGAAAAGATTTAGCTGAAGGAATCTTTTTGGAAGCCTTTTGGAATTATTTTGCTATGTTTTTATTTACAATTGTCTAAATACTTTTCCTATCAGAAAATCATTTCAGTTAGAATACTTATTAATTAATAGATTTAACAAGAGAGAAGCTGAATTTACTTTTGTTTATTTTGTGGCTTCTAAAAAAAGAATTTTTTTTTTTTTATTGTGAAATGGCAATCTTCTCTCCCTATTTTACTTTGGGGGTGGGGAGTAATTTCCAAGATGGACTACTCATTGAGACCCAGTGGTATCTATGTGTAGAGATCCATGCATACATAAAGTATCTGTGCACATGTAGAGTATCCACACATGTGTGGACTATCTGTGCATGCATAGAGTATCCATGCATGGGTGGACTATGTGTGCTATAGAGAATCCATGCATGTGTGGACTATCTGTGCATGTGTAGAGTATCCGTGTGTGTGGACTATCTGTATGTGTAGAGTATCTATGCACTTGTGGACTATCTGTGTGCGTGTAGAGTATCTAGACTATCTGCGTGTGTAGAGTATCTATGCACTTGTGGACTATCTGTGTGCGTGTAGAGTATCTAGACTATCTGCGTGTGTAGAGTATCTATGCACTTGTGGACTATCTGTGCGCATGTAGAGTATTTAGACTATCTGCGTGTGTAGAGTATCTATGCACTTGTGGACTATCTGTGCGCGTGTACAGTNAGAGACATAGGTGGGGGTATAGCTTAACAGTATAGGCTGGTAACTTTCAGTGAAACAAGCCGTTAAGTGGTCCTATCAACAACAGTTTGGTCTTAGCAAACATTCCTTCCTATAACAATTTCTCAGTATCTTTACATAACAATCAGTAACTAGTCTGTCTTTCGAGCCAGCAACCTGCTGTGCCACAATTCTTATCTTGCAACAGAGATTCGCTAGCCTGGGGAAAATTTCCTGTCCTTGCAAGGTCAGTATTTGAAACTGCAAGGCTTCGGAAAACCAGGCCCTGTGAAGTACATTTGCTTTTTAGTATATTCCACAAAACATGATACTAAGAATTGTTCTCTATCACTGGGAAGGAGTCCACAGGAACCCAGCTGATTTCCAGGAACCATGATGATTGAGCACCAGCACTTTAAGTAATTACAGAACTACCAGCCGAGTATGATTCTCTGGCAACACTGTTAAGTATCTGTATTAACACTCCATGCTCTGGGGAACTCAGACAAAATAATTTTACCAGTTAATCTGCCATGAAAAGATTTAGCTGAAGGAATGTTTTTGGAAGCCTTTTGGAATTAGTTTGCTATGTTTTTATTTACAATTGTCTAAATACTTTTCCTATCATAAAATCATTTCAGTTAGAATACTTATTAATTAATAGATTTAACAAGAGAGAAGCTTAGTTTACTTTTGTTTATTTTGTGGCTTCTAAAAAAGAATTTTTTTTTTTAATTGTGAAATGGCAATCTTCTCTCCCTATTTTACTTTGGGGGTGGGGAGTAATTTCCAAGATGGACTACTCATTGAGACCCAGCGGTATCTATGTGTAGAGATCCATGCATACGTAAAGTATCTGTGCACATGCAGAGTATCCACACATGTGTGGAGTATCTGTGCATGCATAGAGTATCCATGCATGGGTGGACTATGTGCACTACAGAGTATCCATGCATGTGTGGACTATCTGTGCATGTGTAGAGTATCTATGTATATGTAGAACATATGGTTCTCAAATGAGCCAGGCATGCCCCATGAAGAGCTGAAGAGCTGGTCCAGATTCAGTCCCCTCAGAGACTTGGGTTCTGCTTAGGTTGCTTTCACTTTAATTTCCCTGCAAACAAGCCCCATAAATAATACATGAGATAAAGATACAGATGAGTTTCTCGCAGTCAGGGTATACAAGATAATGGTCAATATAGCTGTGTGGAGGAGTTCATATCTTTTGAAACATCATTCTTGGGGAAGATGCCTCGTAAAAGTCTATTTGCGACCATATAAGGCAAATCTTTCAATGCATCAAGTTTTATTTTTGACCTTATCATTGGAACCAGGACACATTTGGCCATGGAAAACAGTCTTTATCAATTACTAGTGGGAAAAGGAGTCTATAACAGCTCTGTCTCCAGATGAAATCTACTTATCTCTTTATACTCATCTCACATTACTATTATGACTTATTTAATGGGCGGTTCTATTAGATTATAAACTCAGTGAAGGTGAAGACCTACCTTGTTCAGCATTAATGGTGAACAATTTAGAGAGGTCTAAGGTGTAGCCACATAATAAGCACACAGTAGATACTCAATAAGTATTGGCTAAATGAACAGATAAAAATTTACAGTGTAGACCTAAATAAAGAGTCATGCCTTTCACGCATGTGAAAACTGAATTTAAATTTTTTCCCACAACTCATAACATAGACAAAGGGCTAATATTGCTAATACATAAAGAGGCTTTATGGGCCACAAAAGGGAAGTCTCAGTGGTTCTTAAGCATGTGAATAGGTATTCAGCCACACACATAATAATAATAATAATAATAATAATAATAATAATACAGTGTAACACTACAGTGAGATACCAGTTTAGCAAAACCCCAAGTGTTTACTGTTTTGTTTTGGGCTTTATTTGGTCTATTCATTGGTGAGGTTATAATATGAAGCTCTTACTTTCATGTGTTGCTAGTGGAAGTGTAAATAACCCCTTTAGAGGGCAATTCGGTAATAGCTGTGAAAATCACAACTACACTTACTCTTTGACCTAGCAGTTCTTGATAAAGGAAATTATTCACGCTTACACTTGCACCTGTGCTAAATGGTGTAGGCATACAGTTATTGGTGGAAGCATTAATTTTAACTACAAAAGAGTCGAAACAGTCTCGTTCATCAGAAAGGAACTTGTTAAATTATGATGCATCCAAAATATGAATTACTAAGTAACTGTGGGGAAAAAGAGGAAGTGCTTTATGCATGAATACAGAATTCCAGGATCCATTATTAAATGAAAAAAGCCACACACATCAAGAGTTTGTTTAGTATGCTTTCATTTGTGCAAAAAACAAAAACTTAAAGAAGGGAGGGGAGAATACATATTTGTATTTGCTTGTGTACATAAAAAAAACATTTCAGAAAGAATCACAAGAAACTAGTAACAGTGGTTTCTTACCTAGCTGAGGCTAGGAACTGGGCAAATGGGGTGGGGGCAGGAGGTAGAATTTGCACTGTATACCTTTTAAGTTTTATTTTCAAACCATGTATTGTCTAGTCAGAAAATTATTAAACATTCAAAACTACATAAAATTCACCCCTCCTTCACTGGAATAACAACACTTTTTGCCTAGGGGTGTTTTGAAAGGAAGCTCCTGGTTGGCCAGCGGAGCTGAGGACAGTGCTAATCTGAAACTGATCTGCCTTTGAAGTCGCAGCATTGGAGTTAGAACTTGACCCTGAGAGCATTTCCGATGGCCCACGAAGTGGTCGCAGGCCAGGAGGTGGGGCAGAGAGGGCATGCAGGGGAGCAGAAAGAATCCTGAGCGTGCCGGATAATCCAGTGATCCCCGGGGTAAAGAAAGAGGGAGAGACTGGGAATGGTTAGTGGTCCTTGAATTTTGCTTTTGTTCCCATACCTCCTCTTCCCATAAGAAGTCTAAATTCTTATTTCCCAGTTACTACAATCACTGTGTTAAATGTGTAACCGCAGAGGTTTCAACATTTTCACTTGTTCTTAACATCTGTGTTGTGGGAGGAGTTATTCATTACGTGGTTGCTCTTGAATATGTTCCTTTATGACAGCTGGATTCCTTACTGAATCTTCACCTTCTAGGATGTATAATGGCATTTCTGACAGGTTGATATTAGCCTCAAATTTTGTTATTGGCTGCAGAGCAAAAACAGCAGGATTCTTCTGAGAGAAATATACCATCCCGAGGACAAGGTCGAAAAGCCAAAGCATCCTGCTCTCCGAAGCCCTCCCAGCTTCTGATGCTGTGCTTGCCTGACCCCTCAGTCTGGCCTGTTGGTCAGCATTGATGCTGTAGAGGGGGCTCTTCTTACCGGAGGGAAACGAGAGAGGTGGCATATCTCTGGTTACAAGCATACCACTGTGCTCTGGATGCTTCTGGGCAGTGGGAGTGCAATGTGAAAAATGAAATACTGCTGTGTCAGTAAATTAAAACTCTGCAGCCAGAGTGGGTCACCATGTGTTTCCACACAGTTTGGGCTACTTCTAGTGTATATTTGATTTCTGGGTGGGAGAAGGGGCAGTAATCTGTTCAAATAGATTTTTTTCTTGATTTGAAAGTATATTCATAGTATTTTATTCTTTTCTGCCCTTAGCATGGAGATACAAAACTCCTCATAGGGTGGCATTTGTTGAAAAATTGACCAAGCTTGTTTTAAGTCAGCTGCCTAACTTCTGGAAACTCTGGATTTCATATGTTAATGGAAGCCTTTTCAGTGAGGTATGTATATGAATTTGACTATAGGTGGAGCTAAGCCACTGTGAATTTATAGTCCTTAAAATTTTAGGTTGTGAAGTGATTTTTTTTTAAAGACTTTACAGGCCCAACACCTATAACTATTGTCATATATTTTAAGATTAGTTAAAAGCGTAATAAAGCCCTAGCACTTAGTAGCCATGTGACATTGGACAAGTTACTTGACTGTTCTGGGACTTGGTTTCCTCATCTGTAAAAAGAGAGTAGTAAGGGCAGCTATCTCAACAGGTGGTTGTAAGGATTAAATGAGATAGTAAAAAAGAAAACTTGAAATATTTCCAAGGATTTAGAATCAACTGTCATGCCAGTGAAGTCCCATTATGGATGAAATTATTATATAGGAGACCATAAACAAATGATAAAAAAAAAAAGATAAAATGTTTGCAGCTTGCACATAGGTCCGTACTAATCCATATAACTGTTCAATTATCTGGTTGGTGAGAATTTAAAGATCACATAGTCTAGCCCCATTGTTATCAGCCTACAGAGGTTTTTATAAGCCTTTACATTTTCATGAGTCACTCATTTGCTTCGTGTCTTAATCATAATACAGTTGATAGCATAGAAAGCATGAACATAAGGTAATGACTCTGACTTTTGTGTGTAGCACGTGGAAGTCAGACTCATCACTTTATGATCTCACTTCAGGTGCTTCAGGAAAGGCCCCCTGTTCCTGGAATATGGATTCTAACATCCTTTGCCCCGAGCTGCTGAGGGTCCCTCACCTGTAACATTGAGAAGACAGCTCTCTTTTGTGTCTCCAAGGGAGAACTCTTTATAGCCATGGGAGAAGCTGGGAAAGGTGGGTCTTCCTGAGGCTAAAGGCTGTTTTCACAGAAAGTTGATAAGGACAAGGACTAAAATCATGTTTTGTTTTTTGCACAAAGGCACAGCCCTTGTGGTTTAAGATCACTCTTTGGAGAAAAGCGGTTAGTTGCCTGGGCGCTCCAGGGGTTTCTTGAGTCTCTTAACCATAGACATAAATTCACGCGGGTATTAAAGAAATAGAGTTGTGCTGTGGAGGTTTTTTCCCTTTGTGTATTTAATTTCTATTTGCTGACTGTCTCTTTTCTTTTAACTCTACTAGATCCCTAGATCCCTAGATCCTTGCTTAGATGAGTATTTGTGCATGAAAAACAGAAAAACAGTAGTGCATGAAAACAAACTCCTTAGTGCAGAAAACCATTCTCTTCAGTGTGACGTATCAATGCATTTTTTCTTCCTTGAACTTGAGCAGTGTATTCATTACTCTATAGGTGAACGTTCAAAGGATTAAAGCAATGAAAAACTTTCTTCTTTTTGTATGACTTGGTTATACACAAATGCTACTGAAAAGTCAACTATACAGAGGACGTCCTTCTTCCATAAAATACATGTAGGTTTTGCCTGGTCTTCATAAGTGCAGAGTTGCTGACTGCTGGCTTAGGAGGAGAGTGCTTCAGTCTTATAGGTGTCCTAGAAAACGTTTTCCCAGTGCTCTGCATTCGCACATGCCACGCATCAGTCTGTATGTCATGAATCTCAGCTGGGTGACAGTGGTGTGGCTCGCATTTCTGAGGACAGTCCTGAGGTGCCGTGCCCTCTGCCCCGGTCTGCCCCGGGCACCACAACTTCCTCTCTAAACCAGATCGCTCACGTGGACGGGAAAGGCTGGATCCTCCATACTGTTCCTTTGGACAGACAGCTCTCATAAATCTTCTCACAGAGCACTGTTGTCACAGTGGAAACATCCCGTGTGTGTCACTCTTGTGACCTTAGGCAAATTACTTTTCTTCTCTGCACATACCTCCCTAAGGCTGGTTTGAGAATTCAGTGAGTTAACATAAATAAAGTGCTTATTATTTGGAATAAAATTTATTCCAGTAATTGAAATTTCATTGGCCTGGCACATAATAGGTATTCAGTGAACAAAATTTAGTAGCATTAAAAAATACTGGACCGGACATACTAGAGTAGAATTGAATGATGTCAAGATGGATTCACTCATCTAAAGAATTGGTCCATTAGGAAATGGATTTTAGACCATAATACTTGTTTCCAGCCAAGTGTTTTCCACTCATTTGGGTCAGTTCCTACAGATGGCCCACCACACATGGACAGTAGTTGCCTTATCTTGAATCTTTTTAGAGTCATAAAATTCCTAAGAGTTTTTGATTGGGGATATTTTAGTGAAAAGGGAATATATTTTCCTTCCTTATGGGTTGTAACTAGTTACAGTAAAAATACAAATAAGATAATTGGTTGTAAATGAAAAATAAATTACCTACTTCAGAACTTGTGAACAATATTATTGTTGAAATGAAAAAACTGATGTTAATTAGTTATACTGGATTGGATATGCCTGTGGTATTTCTCCCTATTTAAGTTTATAAACTTTTCTTAAACGTTTATAGTAATAATTATTAATTAAGTATAATTCACTTTACAGATTTAGGCATGCTTTAGAAATATTTACCCTCTGTTGAAAAGCAAGAAAGACACTCACGGGGAATAAAAAGGAATGCAGCAGGATTTAGGAAAGTGTGACGCCCTGTCAGTCTATGAGTGACATGCAGAAACTTAATTAAATTAACATTGAGAGGAGTTCTGGGAGTTTTGATAGTTGATATTTAATTTCATACAAGGGAGCTTTATGATATTTCAACACAATTTACTTGAAATTTCTTATTTTTCTTCTTATAAAACTATCTTGTTTATTAAGAGCCTATCCGTTAAAGATTTAGATGGAGTTTCCAACAGTTTAAAAAATAGTCAGTTCTTCAAACCAGTTATGCCTATATGAAGTAACATATGTGAATCAAAACAGTGAAATCTAGCCGTTGTTCTTACCACAAAGTAGTTTTGGTCTGTGTGTGCAGGAAAGAGTTAAGGTTTTTAGTTAGCAGAATGGTTAATAGTAAGTTAAGATCTCACTTTTAGATATGTGTTAAATATAGTATTTTTTGGATGAAAATCTTTAAAGCATCCAAATAATTGTTAACTATTAGGAATCAACATTTTAAAGTCACATAACTCATACTGTGTAAATTAAAATATGCTTATATGTTCCAAAATTAGATTTCTGTTAAAAAATAAGGCAGACTTTCATTGTATTGGACATGTTCAACTCTTCATCAAGTTAAAACAAAAAGTAACTATTATTTCATTAACAATTGCAAGGGGCATGCCTTATACCTAATCCTCCCACCACACACACATATTTTATGTATTTGGAGACAAGTCCTTCAGTTTTACAAAATTGTTGTCCGGTAGATGTCATCATGTATTCGTAAGCACCTGTTTAGTGGGCCAAATTGTTGTGGCAAAATTTAGCCTTAATTTTGGTATGATGCTTTAAACAACAGATTTTACTCTTTTCTTCAGTTTAAAAATTATTGAACAGAACAGATGACTGTGAAATACTGTTCCTGTTGAACAGTCCTCCTATGTACACAATTCAGTGTGTGTGCAGTATTAGATTCTGTGGAAGTTGGATTTAGAGAAGACACTCTCTGACAATTGAGACACTTAGAGTTTTACACTGGCATGTCCCTTCCCTACAGCACACCATACAGGTATGTGAGTAGGGTTCTCCAGAGAAACTGTACCAATAGGATATGTGTATACACACACACTCACACACACACTCGGGGTTTATTATAAGGAAGTGGCTCACGTGATTGTAGAGGCTGACAAGTCCAGAGGTCTTCAAGCTAGAGACCCAGGAGGAAGCTGGTGGTGTGAGTTCCAGTCCAAATTCCAGCAGATGTGAGACCCAAGAAGAGCAGATGTTTCAGTTCAAGTGTGACGGCAGAGAAATCCCAGCGTTCCAGTTTGAAGGCTGTCAGACAGGAGGGGTTCCCTCTTACTCGGTGGAGGTCAGCCTTTTTGTTCTAGTCAACCTTCAACTGATTGGATGAGGCCGCCTATATCAGGGAAGGCAGCTCTGCTTTATTTAGTCTACTGCTTCAAATGTTAACCTCATCCAGAAGTACTCTCCCAGAAT